TAGGGTTTAGGGTTTAGGGGTACACCGGGCCCGAGAAAGGCACCGCATCCCGTAGCTCTGGCAGCTCTTCCGGCATCGGCACCTTCTTCCACCGGGTGAGGCTTGAGGGGCATAGAGCAAAGAGGTTTAGGGGCTTTCACGCTGTAGGGGGCTCTGGACTTGGGACTTAGATGCCTTCCGGAAGCTTTCGGGTGGTTGGACGGGGTGGAGATCCTGGCGCAAAGCGTTTCAGGTTTGAGGTTTCAGGTTGATACAGGGGCCTTGAACACCACAGTAGGACTTTGGGTGTACATATGCCGTGTGCTTTTTGGGGGAGTCTCAAGGGTTCGGGTGGATAGCATGACTGATGCAGACCCCAAACCCTAAACCCCAAACCCTAAACCCTAAACCCTAAACCCTAAACCCTAAACCCTAAACCCTAAACCCTAACCCTAAACACAAAGGCCTACACTTCGCGCCGAGCCGTAGATTCTGGCCTCTGTTCCTGAAGCAACCTGGGATCTAGCATGATACTTTTGATGGACAAAATTCTGCATGACCCAAAGGGTTTAGGGTTTAGGGTTTAGGGTTTAGGGTTTAGGGTTTAGGGATACTTTTGATGGACAAAATTCTGCATGACCCAAATATAGTATAGTACCATAAATCCCATAGTTTCGGTATATAAGGTCATGCAGGATATTGTCCATCAACCGTACGTCTCCTCCCCGAAGTATGGTTGATGATACAAATCCTGCATTTGGGACGTCTAGCCTGAAGCAAAGAGGCTAAAGTCCTAGCGTACATTCCTACACATTCAGGAACTACTTACAAGAGAAGGTTACGACTACTTTTGCCAACCCCATATGTTTCTCGATCAAGGCGGTGGAGACCTTAGGGTGCCCTCAGATTTTGTGTGTAGGGTTTAGGCCGCCGGGGGCTGAGGCTTTGTGGCGGAAATGATGTGCTTAGAATTAGGGTTTAGGGCTTAGGGCCTAAACCCTAAACCCCTAAACCCCTAGATCCTAAACCCTAAACCCCTAAACCCCGAGACCCTAAACCCTAAACCCTAAACCCTAAACCCTAACCCCTAAACCCTACGCTAAACCCTAAGCCCTAAACCAAAAACATCTAGAATAGTAGCTGGATTCGCCAGTAATGTA